ACAATATATTTTTTTGCTTATCTTTTTCTTTTTACATTTAAGAATATGCTTCAGTTACAAAGCTCACATTTTATTCAAAAACTCCTGATTCTTTCATGAGATAAAACATTACATTTACAGTTAGATCTTGTTAACAGATCCTTGATTGATTAACATGAAATATCTATCTTGAATCTGTTCTTACTTTCTAAATAGAGATATGCTATTTCGTTAATGTATAACTATAAGAAAATCATCCTGTTCTCCACTTATTTTAGCACTATATGCACTTATAAAAGTATTTGTACGATTATGATCAAAGTTGGATGTAGGTGTGGATGGGTGTGGTGAAAGAGAACACCCACGCTCACATTCACACCCACACCCATACCCAATCCATGAAAGAAACTCTGATCAAGAATCAGAATAAAATTGATTGTTTTTAAGTAAAACTCGATTAAACTGATGCTATCTAATTCTGATTGAAGTCTGATTCTTCAACTTTAAAGATGATCTTTAATTAGTTTCAAAGTTGAAAAAAACACAAGTTTTTATCGTATTCAAATAGTATCATTTTAATCAATTTTTTAGTTAGAAAAAAATCGATTAAAAGCAGATTTTTTGCTATTTTCTTATGTGAGAAATCCTTCTTGAAAAAAGAAATAAAGTTTGGACCGGACGGTCCATTTCGAGATCTGCTGAATAGCTAGGAAAATAACGAGATCTATAAAAATTCTACATGGAAAAATTCGAAGAACATTTCATAAGAGTCTCTAAAATCTGACACATATCCGTTGATCGAAATCTTCATCATAATTGTGAGAATTATGTTCGGAAGTTGCGAAAAATCACCATGTCGAGTCATCGCCAAGTGATACCAATCATTACAAGGATCCATTGGTGGTCTTTGCATGATATTTCTCGAGCTTTCTATCCGTTTTAAAAGAAATTTTTGTTCACATCAAAATTGCAAAATGTTAACAGGATTCACTTTCGATTCTACTAAGGATTTTCGAAGAATTAGCAGACAAAATGATGATTCTGTTTCGAGAATCGAATCAACAGTTGTAACTTAGATCAGAGGAAAATGTTAACCCGAGTAAAGAAAATTTTCTAAACAAATTTTCTAAAATTGCCCATTTTCGCTTCTTTACAAGTCAATACTAATCTACAATCAAAATCTTAATCTGAAATCGCGGGCAAGGATCTACTAGTTGAGACCGTTGCAAGTTTGTGTTTTATAAATTATACCATAGGTGCAAATTTTGAGGATTCTCACAAAAAAACCGATTGTAAAGGAATCTCAACAGCAATAAATACGAGAATTTCTTTTCAAATTTTTATTTTATTCGATTCCACATTTAACGAAATTTTGAAGTATAGGTGAATTTCATTCCGATCAAGGTTGAATCTGTGTATGATCAAACAGAAGAGCTTCTGGTGAAATTCTAGATGAAATTTGTTTTGTTTGTCTAGAATCTACTAAAGATTTGTCATGATATTGATTTCAGCTTTAGACTAGAAACAATAATTATTTTTATGATTATATTTTGAAAGGGAAGTTAAAAACCCTGCAATTCGAATATTACTTTCAATGTACATAGTGATTTCATCAATTTTTTTTGTTAAATATTTATTTGTGGTAACAGACAAATCATTTAGTCACACTTGTTCATCATTTCAATTTATGTATGTAGAAAAAAAAATTACAAGTAAATTTTTTCTTATGTTAATCGAACTGATGAAATTAATACAAAATGCCATAGAATTTTATAAACTACATAAAACAATAATAATTCAATGGAAATTCAGTCTTTTCAATGAGAAATCTTCTTTCTTCAGAACTCGGTCGTACGCTCAGAAAAAAATTAGTGAATCCTCGCAGAATCCTTATTGGATTCCTCAAAGGCCTAGCGTGGAAACATCAAAGATTTTTACTAGGAAATAATTGAGAGCAGGAGCACATGAATAATTGACTTCGAATAACAAAGATGTATGTATCTAACTCTTGAAAAAAAGAAGACTAAAACGGAGAAAAAGGTCCAACTTGATTATAGGATGCAATACAACGAACAAAAACAACATTATAACAAAAAATAATGTTGTAGTCAACAAAGCCAGAAACAAAAATAAACACTGAGAATTTGCGAACTATTTTTCAAAAATAATCAACAAGTGATGCTTTTCTGTAACCTTTTTGTAAAGTAACGACTACAAAAGCTAGTTGATTTTGTTAGACAATCGTTATAAGCATGGTAGTCTTTGACGAAAAATATTTTTAAGACGCGTCATGACTGATATCTAACAACAGTTTAGTTTTTAGAACGAAACTATATGAGATAGCAACATTTTTAATCAACCTGAAGAAAACTTTGCACACAGCAGTAGTACCAGTTGCATGCACACAAGTAGTTTTCGAAGGCTTGAACCTTAATTCAAGGAAATTTTGATTCATTTTGGTCTTTAAGAAAAATGATTTGGATTCATAGTTACTAGTCTAAACACTTCCGGCGTTAAAAGAATTAAAAAATCTTTTTTTTTGTAATTCCGAAAAAAGAAAGATAAAATGAAGCGCAGTTTCCTGTTAATTATGTAAGATGCTCCCGAATAGAAAATATTTCTTGCATCAGAAATAGCGAAAAAAACCAGTAATCTAGTTGAGAAAAAATGCGAATGTGCCTTCTAATCTCGATCAGCTCAAAGCTTTTCTGTGTATGCCTCTTTTGCTCATTCATTTTTTCCATCGTATATCTTGGGATTATTTTGGACAAAACCTTTTTTTAACAAGTCTCCTCCCAGAGTTTCAAGTGAAGTGGGTCGGAGATAATATTTCGGAATGAATGAACTGATTTGAGATTTTCTTTTCAATCAATTGAAATGATTTAATCCTTTTTAATTTTCACATGAAGAATCTAGCTATAATTGAGATCTTGAATAAATTTTCATTCCTCTTATGTAATGTCATATACTTCGAATATGTTGATATCTAATTACAATTGGAAGAAATCACAAAATTTATAACTGAGAAAAGAATATTTTAGTATTATTTCTTTTCTTGGATCGACAAAAAAAGATACATGTAAAACAGTATGGGAACTATAATTATATCAATAGGAGTGTTATTCGATCAAAATTTGTTGAAAATTATAAAAGTAGATGGAGACTATGAGTTTAAAAACAATATGTGTCAAACAATTCTGAGATAAGAGTTGGAATTAAAGCAACAGTTTCTCGTTCTTGAATTGGAGAGACTGTGGGACATAAAATGTTAGGAAGTATAAAACTCAAGTAGATCTTGAATCAGCTTTTCTGTGAGTAAGAAATTTGACTGTTCGTTTTTAGCGAGAGTAATATGTCGCAATTTATGTGAAAAAAGAATAATACTGTTAATTACATTTTACATTTCTTAATTTAAAACTTTATACCTGTAAGACTGTTTATAAAAAATGGGTTACTTTTAAGAACAGTTTGCTATACTATTGTACATATTATAACAGATATTATAAATGTAAAATACAACACATGGAAAAAATATGAATTTATAATTGTCAAAGAACACATGTATGGTCTTATGATAATCGGACGTGAGTGTGGAGGTGTTAGATAGCTTCATACCTACATCTACATCCATTCTAAAGGATATATACTTCCTGTCCATGAATAAAAATTGAAATTTTTTTCAAAAACGAAGTAGCTTCATACACACTAAATTTTAAGAAGGCACATGGTCTAAGGTTTTTCGTGTGTTCTATGTGTCGGAGGAATAAGAGCTATTAGAATTACATAACTTTCACCACTATTTGTAAGCCTCATTGTCAAGACGATAATCAACAAAATCCTACCTTTATTTGGCGATGCTTTGATTTCCATGGTAGATATCTAAAGATACAAAATATTTGATGAATATCCAATTTCTAGAATGATTTTTTGTGACTTGTTTCATGATGGAGTTGGTACCAACGTTAATGGCACTGGCAGTGGCGGCTACTGCAGTTGTATCCTTCTACGAAAAAAACAGAGATAGATATGAATGAAGAAAAGTCACTCAGAAATTGTTTGAATTACTTGAGATTTGCTGGACTGTGTCTGTTTTTTTGCTTCGGTTGTTACAACAGCAGTCGTTATCGAGGCTTCTACAATTCAAAACAACTATTCATTTCTTGAGAGATTTTTGGTGACATTATGGATAAAGTTCAATATACCTTTTTTTATTTAGTAGCTTAATCAAAGTAGAGATTGGTGCGAATACGAGTGTTTGAGATGAAGGTGTCAAATCTTCTTTTCACTCTTACTCTAACTTCATCCAAATCCTTTAGAAGTTGTTCAAAAACAAGAGTATTTTTGTGGATTTCTAACTGTAGGAAAAATTATCATTACATCTACCCAATATCTACGATTCTTTGGGCCGGTAGTATAGGAGAAGAAAGCATCTCCTGAAGAAAATATTTCCAGTGATACTTGTGGATTTAGAAAACTAATCAACTTGAATCACGTCTTTAGATTTCACGAAAGAAATTAGATATTAATAGATGAAGCAGAAAGTAATTGAAACTGATCAGGATCTTAGTTGGTTACTTAAACTATGCAAGACAAAGTCGCTTGTTTTTGTTTTTGTTTAAGAAAATTTGCAAAATCGAAAATTCCATTGAATCTAATCGAAGATTATCATGAAGAGTCTTTTTTTTCTGATCTTTTAAACTAACTCAATTTTATTTTTGGTATGAGAATGGTTTTTAGATGGATAATAAATCTAAATCGACTCTTTATGTTCATATTTTATCATACGTACGCTGATTGGAGAATGTAATTTTTGATTTTCTTCACAGTATCGAAAGTGGGGATGTTGTATATCAAGCGGAATGTTCTTTTTTCTTTATTTTCACTTACTTGAGGGAGTTGAACTGATCGGTTTTGGAATAACAATTAGTACTGGTTGTAATAGTGGGAATGGCGGACGAGTTTCTTCCAATTGAACAATGTGAAGGTTTCCTTGATCAAGACAACCCATTACTTTGAATTGAGTACCAGCCATTAAAAGTACTTCATCTTCAGCTGTATAATACGAATGCTTGCGAATATCTCTAGCTGATTGACATTGTAAGGTAAACATTGTTCTGTCACCTGCCGTTCCCAAAAATTGTTCTGATTTTAGAACACCAACAGCTGTTGTGCAAGATGAAAAACCCCACCAGACGATTGTTTTTCCTTCAACGTAACGCTCGCTCAAGTCTAATTTAACACCTCTGTATGCTACTTTTGGAAGCGGTGGAAGACGAAAAAGTGCACTAAGAAAGAGTCTCATAAACAAATACCATGGTTTAAGTTTTTGTTGTCGTTCAGATGATCGTAATGTATCATTCAAAACAACATATAGGCATTTATCGAGTGGCTCCCATCCCATTGTATATAGCATAATTGAGGCCGATTCATCTTGTGTCAATCCATCGGCAGGGTTCTCACATATTTGTTTGGCAACATATGCATGGCTTTGAACCGCTGGTAGGATAGGAACAAGCGGTTCGACAGCTTTTTCAAGCGTAACAATTGGCATTTCTTCGTAGCCACCAATGGGCGCGATAAATCGAAGTGGCTCCTGGACAATGTCTGTAAGGCGTAAAATACGCTGTGCTATCGCTTCTTCTCCACCACTTGTAGCCATTTTCAACAAAAAGAAAACTATTCACGAAATATAAAAATGATAAATATCTGAAAAATAATAAACAATAAGTTTTGTACGCGGTAATATTTTCTTCAACATTCATCTGTTTTGCCTTATGACAATAATCAACTTTTACGACCATCCGACTTTAATTATACTGCTTTATTCAATCTGATATGTCTACAGATCTCCAATACGTGTGATATGAATTCTAATATTCATATCAAGATATATTTTCATGACGCTATTAAAGTGATTTAAAGTTTTTATATTGAATTGTTAATATGATAGAAATTCGTTCGATATTGAATGCCCACTATTTCCTTATCTATCAATTCTTTGTTGTCTAATTTTATATCAGTTTTCTTAACATAAGTTTCATTAACACATAACTGTTTCTTCCGAAACGTTTTTAACACTTTTATGTCCTTTATATTTCAATGGATGAAAGATGAGATTCACGGAAAACTTTAGAACAAGCAATCTTTTTGTCTATTACAATTTTTAATAAAACCCACTGAACACTGATCGTGCGGACTTTGCGAGAATTTACCCAACTGTATTCTCAAATAAGTGTAGAGAACAATGGATAAAAATAAATCTATAGATTTAGCTAGCAAAAAAAATGGTTGTTCAAGCGTTAGTTTTATAACGAATGATTTACTCAGGCCATGTGATGAACGTTAATTTCAAACAAAAGAATATAGGATTCTAGTTTTTATACGTAAAAAAATGAGAATAAAGTTCATATCATATTTTTCGGAAAGTGTCAGCTTTAAAGTTATCTATGATGCTTTACTACTTTCGTTTTATTTTAAAAAAACAGAGTAAGCTGATGAACTATTGCATGTTTCTTACTCGAAATATTTCTGTCATTGCTAAAAAACAATCATAATTTGCATATATTCGATTAAACGAAAGATAATTAAGAAAGAAGTCTTCTTGTCGTTTTCGTTTCAATGAAAGATCTTCAAATTTCTTTAGACTATTTTCATCCTAAAAAATCTCCTCAAGTGATCGGTAATGATGATTGATGATGACGGAACGTACAACAGCGATCATCTTCTGTTGGCTTCAGTGGCGTTTCTATCCGTTCGTCATTGTTAATTTACTGTCAAAAGCCAATCTAAACAATTTTTATTTTGTACAGCTACACCTTGAACACATCTTTCTAGTAGAGTTAGACCTCTTCTATTGCTCCCAGCATTTTCTAGGAAATATACGAATAAAATATAGCAATGAAATAAATTAGTGTATTACGAATCGGCGAAAAATCTTGTTTTTTGAAGAACGAAACACCTCTTCGTTTTTTTTTCAATGAATACTTCTACTTATTGAATTTGGTTGAGATTACAAAATCATATTAACATAATTAAAGTCATCATTTTTCATTACTCTGTTACAAAATTAAAATCGATTGGAAACAGTCTTTTTGAGCGAATTATGACCACATGCAAATCAATTACCATACGCAAAAAAAGTCTGACATTAATCGATTTTTATTTTGACTTTATGGTATGATACAGTGGTTGATAGTCTCACGTACGGAATGTTTCAAATTATAAGAAACTTCTAAGATGAAACTTTATTCGTTAAATAGAATCTATTAAGACTAGATAAAGTCTAGAATAAACCTTGCTCTTAAGACGTCCTTCTTAAGTTTAATCCAATTTATCAAGTTTTTGATTTTTGTTGAAGTATTTAATAGAATAGAAAATTGCAATATTAATTATACTAAAAGAGAACCCGATGGAATTCAGCTGGAAATCTGTTGAATGATAATTTGATCGACTTACTGAGTATCTGCCTTTGACAAACTCTCAGTCGTTATGTTTTCTCCAGAACCACTTGCAGACAATATGATTATATGCTACATCAGTCTTGTGACGATCAAACCGCACTCTGTTACATAGAAACTTGGTATATGTAATTAAGTTAAAGGTAAAAGCATATTCAATCTGATAGAGTTTAGCAGAAAAATAAATCTGTATTCTTACTTAACAGATATGACCTATACGTGGCTCTACTTATTAAATGATCAATCTAAAGTCTAAATTTCTCGTCTCTTACTGCTACTGACACGCTTCTTTCATGAAAAAAAATGCTTCTTATTATACTCAAGTTTAATAATACTTCGTATTCAATATTTTTTTACCGTTCATCGACGAAATTACAACAAAAAATATGTTGAAGCTTACTTCATAAGTTTCCAGTGCTATCATATTAGTGGTAATGAACGTATTTCATGAATTCCGTTTGTGTTCTTTTAGTTTCAATGATAAAAGAGAAATAACAGCAGCAGAATTGAGACTCTGTTTTATTTCACAAAACTCTCAGTTTTCTTACGTGATAAATGATCATATTTATCATAGTTGCAGTTACATACAGCTCTTACTTTGCGGGGTATTTCATTCTACATTCGGCTACTTGAACTGTTTCGTCTCTGAAAGGATAGATCACAAATAGTACCATATTTTTTTGGATTTTCTACTTTCAACTTTATGTTTCTTGACTAGTCAAATATTTTCTGTCTGATTCAGATACAAGCTGTTACCTGATCGCTCCATTGTTTGATATTATGATCTTGTTTCAGTTTTCATTTATTTTTTTTAGTGTTTCTTTGATATTCAACTAAATTTATTTGTTTTAATTTGTTGCTATTATGCGTAGAGAGTTCTCATAGAAGTCTTTATTTCACACTTTGTACAACGCTAGCTAATCTGATGGTTTGCTTTAATAATGTAATAGGAATATATAACAGTTGCCAAAATAGGAGTCAAAAAAGTGTTTCGAAAATCACTGATATCACTGTATTGAAGAAGCATTGTTGATACTAAACTATAAGATTCATTTAATTTGAGAGTTTAAAATTTGTTAGCCTTGAAATCCTGGCTCAATTTAGTTAGATGAGGTGTATCATCAAGAACGCAATTCCGATTGAGATATTTCTGTTTGACAGCAGTCTTTTTAGATTGATGATTATTCTACAGATAAGCATTGCAAATTACTAAAACATTCTTGATTTTCTAATCCTGAAGAAAATAGTAGGATATCCGATAAATTTCTCTAGGTTCGAAAGTCCTAGAATTGACGAAATTCAAAAATTTATTAAAAAGCAAATATTTTAATACTAAAAACTATATGATAGTTTTAAGACTCAAGGAACACTACGAATTCTCTGATCTCATATGACCCGCAGAACTACTCAAATAGACGAAGAAATTCACACAGCTCTGAGTATTCTAGAAACTTGTAAAATCTATGGTTTTCAATGAACTGATTGTGAGAGCTGCTTATTTTTAATAATTGAATTAAACGGTAAAAGGAATTTTCTATTACCAAACTTTTCAACTTCTACCGAACAAAAAAGTCATCAACACTTGCTCACAGTTTCATCCATATTTACAGTATAACATTTGTAGTTTTCTTTTAACTATTCAATAGTGTCTTCACTGTAACATTATTGAATCGTTCAAATCAAATTTTAAATATTGAGAAAATGATTTAAAACTTTGCCATTTCAAATGGCTACATGTGGGTCTACCAATGTTTCGTTTGTTCTCAGCTTTACAGACGTTCTTTTACGATGTTTAATTACGTATATAAGTATAGTGTAACATTCTCTGTGATATAAATACACTCTGGAACGATGTAATTACTCTATAAAAATATTTTATGGTATTCGCAATATCTATTGAAATATGGTTATGCTTATTCTGTAACACTCACAAATCTCGACTTACGCCATAGATAAGTGCGACCATTCGATCAAAAGCTCATAATAGTCTCAAGTGTGCATAAGTTCTTCATAGAAGGCTTTCATAATTCTTTTCCAACTAGAAATCTAATGAATAGCATAAAGCTTTTAACATCCATTCTAGCACATGGGTAGGTTGTCTGAAGTTTATTTTTTGTGGCTTATTTCATACATTTCTCTACGGTCCAACAGTTTTTGCTATCTGTTAGAAACATTCATCGGTAGTCTGAAAGTCGTCGCGACTACATCAAGATACGGATGGGTTCTCGGGTGTTCTTTTGCTTTGATAACACAGTTCTATGTTCTAGGCAATGTTTACCGACATAAAAATTCATCACTAACTAGCTAGAAATTTTTCGTAGCGGCTTTCACATATCGCCGAATTAGCGAAAACTTTCTCAGTTGGCTCGTTAAATGCATTTATGGCTGGGAAGTGATTTCGATTATCCTGACAGATGAATGAGTCAGATAAAGCTTTTGTTGACTCTTTCGGATTATGTACAACGGAAAGGTGCTCGCTATGGACGAACCTCATTCGTTGGTTGTTCTCCTCTGTTTTCCGTCACAATCACATTTTGATAGGTCGCATTAGGCTCTGTTCCACCGTTCTTGTGTGTTTACATCCACACCCTCAAGATGCAAACATGTGCAGAAAGAAGGTATTCACCTTCAGGTGCAGCCATTTTTCAGTAATATCATCATTCTATGTTTATGCCTTCCCACGAACTTCCCGGTCACATTATTTTAATAGTTCGATTCTCGTCTATGGACTGACGAAAAGTGATGAATCAAATGGGATAAAAAGGAGCAAACTAATTATGTAAAATAGTGACAACTTCGCAGAATAGAAGAATTAGTCCATTTCCGCCGACAATGTGTTTCGCAGACTCCTATACCACCGAGTCATTTCATATATGATCCGTTGTGTATAGTATTTTGTTATAATTAATTCGTTTATTAGCAAATCAATTGGCCATCATCTGAGTTGGGAGGACATGGGTGTGGGTTTGAGTATCAATGTAAAGAGGAAAACACCCACACCCACACTGGAGTCGACGAAACATATTGTCAGCAAAAAAGGTTTGGCGAAAATAAAAATTACGATGTAGAAACCCTTGCAATCATTGAATTTGTGTGTGATCGATGCAACAAAGTAAATTCACTAGGCTGCTGATTGACGGCGATTATCAATCAATTGAGTGAACGGAAGTTGGTTGTGGGTAGCGATTTCATATCTCTCAAT